AGAAAGAAAGAAAGAAAGAAAGAAAGAAAGAAAGAAAGAAAGAAAGACACAATTGTCTCGGGAAAAATCAAACCAGGAACCTTGAAACTGAGAATTTTTCAGGCATAGGCACAAATAAATCACATCGATTTCATGCACGTTTTCAACCCAGACCCCTCTAGTCTGGTGGATTCCACAGCTGCCTTCTCTCGACCCTGTTCCCATAAGGCAAATCTTATTTTCCTAACCCAGATATTTTCAACTCTGTTTTCCTCACTTGGAACCCAGAAACAGACTTTCCAGAGGACTACCAACAGAGAAGGAGACTCCAAATAAAAAGAATAAGACTTCGGAAGGAACCTTGGAGGTCTTCTAGTCCAACCCCCACTGCTTGAGCAGGTGACACTACACCCTTTCAGGCAAATGGCTGTCCCCATCTCTTCTTGAAAACCTCAAATGTTGGAGCAACCACAACTTCTAGAAACAAATCGTTCCACTGATTCCATGTTCTCACTCTCAGGAAAACTCTCCTTATTACTAGGTTACAAAAAGGTTACACACAAGGATACAAAAGGAACTTGCACAAAGGAGTGAGAAGCAGAAGAAACTGGAAATGGGTCTTGAAAATCGGGGCGGGGGGGAGCAAACTTGGAAATGCCTCCCTTCTATAACCAAAAAGTTAACTAGATCTTTATTTTACCTTGTATTAGAGCCACACAGCAAGCCAGAAGGACAAGGACGGTGAAAAAAGCTTGTTTGGTCATCTCGGCGCTGAGTTCTCTTTCCTGCTTGCGATCCAGATAGAGAAGAGGTGTTCTTGACCTGGTGAACAGCTAATTTATTGCCTGAATTCACCCACTGTCACTCTTCAGGGAATTCCCATCCGACTCATTTTCACTTTCCATTCGTTTGCCTTAGCAAACCAATCATTTTGTAGATCCTCACTAAAGCACACCCACATTTAATTGTGTTCTGCAGTTTTTCTTTTCCAAAAAACAAACCAACCATTCATTGTTTTTCATTCTACTCTTTCCCACCACTTTTTCCTTTTTCCTTTTTCCATTTTTCTTTTTGTTGCCAGGTAAGCTGTACAGGCAATTGGCTGTACTCAACAACTGGCTTCAGACAGCAACATCTTTCATAGTGACTTAAATTGCTGGCGATCCAGTGTTTGGAATTTTAATATTTTAAGCTAGAACGTGGTTTGGATTAGGCTGTGCGAACCCGGTGGTTGTGCTTTATTCAAAACATTGTCGTTAAATAAACCACGGTGTGTCACAAAGTATGAATCAAAACTCGTTGCTCAGTTTAATTCACCTGTTTATTCTAGTTCAGGTGAAGTTGGCACAACTTAAAGTTGTCAAGTTTTTAAAAAATACTGGTCTAATTGCTCTCATGGGCTCTAATTTTCCTGGTTTTCTTGGTTTTAAACCAAGATAAATAAGCAAATATTGATGTTAAATAAAATAATTAGTTCGTATAATTTTATGTATTTTTTTCATAAACTGAAAAGTACAGCTTGTCCTAGAATTACAATCATTCTTATAGTAGCTGTTCAAAGTTACAACTGCATTAAAGTGGCTTATGAGTGTTTTTCACACTTACAACTGTTGCAACATCACCCTGGTCATGTCACATGATCAAAATTCAGACACTTGGCCACTGGTTCATATTTATGATGGTTGCTGGGTCCTGGAATCATGTAATTCACCTTTTGAGAACTTCTGACAAATGGGAGAAGCCAGTTTCCCTTAACAACCATATTACTATTTTAAAAACTGCAGTGATTCCCTTAACAAACTGTGGCAAGAAAGTTCGAACAAAACTCACTTCACAACGGTCTCGCTCAGCAACATAAATGTTGGGCTCTATTGTGGTTGTAAGTCAAGGACTCCCCTGAAGTTAAATGCCTCTGGTGCCTGGGGGACTTGAAGGCATGCTGTTCCTATAGTTAATAATTGTCTAAATTTGGAAACAGTATGCTTTCAAGTATCTCTGGCATGAGAGACATTTTAACTATTTTTCAGTTTAGTAAAAAAATATATAGTAGGAAAACAATACGCCTTCAAGTATACAAGGTATAAGGCGTGTGTTTATCATTTGTCAGTTTATAAAAACAAAATACAAAACAGATTCACTTAACAATCGTATTAACCAGGGCTGGGCTGCTGGGGGTTTGCAGGGGTTCAGGAGAGCCCCTAACTAAGATTCTGTGCAGTTTGGAGAACCCCCAAATCCTACTCTTGGCTGGCCCCACACACTCTCCCCCTCCCCACCAGTTCGCACCTATTCGCTAGAACCAGTTGTTAACATTCTAAGCAGTTCAGAGAACCGGTTGTTAGAAGAAATTACTGGACTAATCCTGTAAGGAAGGCAGGAAGGAAACATTCTGGTGTTGCTTACAGAAACTGCCTTTCCGTTAACCCTTATTACAGTCTTGACAGGACTAGACTTCCTGTCTCTAGAATGTATCTGGAGTTTTTTCCCCTCCTTTGCTGGTACTTTGCTTGTGTGGAGCGACCATTTAAAGTTACAATGGCACTGAAAAAAGTGACATGACCATTTTTCACACGACTGTTGCAGCATCCCCACAGTTATGAGAGGCCAAGCAAGGAGATGCGTGCCTCGATGTGAGAGATATTGAGTTGGCCAAACCCAGCCAATAACATGACCACCAAACCATGTCCACCTAGTCGCACGACCACCAAGCCACACCCACAGGACCAGTTAAAATTTTTGAATCCCACCCCTTCTCCCAGGAGCCCCCATGTGGCCCATTTTGGATGCAGATATGTACAGGGCCCTCATGGAGGCTCAGGGAAGGCGAAAATGTAAGGTGACCAATCGTCCTCCTTTAGGGAGGACAGTCCTTCTTTTGTAAGTTCTGTCCTCTCTTGAAAAGTGTCCTCCTACATGTCCTCCTTTTTGATATTTGAAGACTAACATGTAAATTTCCGTATTTGATCGATGCCGATACAATCCATTGTGTGTGATGTGACGTATTTGTATTTGACATGACTATTTGTCAAGGCTCGGTACAGTGCGTCGAGACGCGATTATGAGGTGCGTGCACTCCCCACAGGAGAATTGTTTTGAGAGACTGCGCCGCGCGTAAGTGGTTTTCTTTTTTTCTTTTTTCCAATTTATTTGTGTCTCCTTCTCATTGTAAAAAAGTTGGTCACCTTAGAAAATGGGCCTCCCGGAAGTTCGGGAAGGCCAGAAATGGGCCCATTCCCAGCTTCCAGAGAGCCTCCGGAGCCCAGGGAGGCCGTTTTCGCCCTTCCAGAGGCTCCGGTGCCCAGGGAAGGCAAAAACATCCTCCCCCCTGACAGTGGTGCAGGAGGCCAACGAGGCCACACCCACCATAGCCACACCTACCCAGCAACTGGGCAGAGAACCCTTTGCTAAATTTTTTGAAGCCCACCACTGAGTGTTACTAATTTAACAATTGAAGTGACTCACTTAACAACAATGGCAAGGAAGATCATGAAATGGAGCAAAATTCACTGAAACCGATGTTCCACTCAGCAACAAAAATGTTGGGCTCAATTTTGGTCATAAGTCAAGGACTACCTGTATCCAGTCGGCCTTCCTCGGTTCCTGGAAGCACAACTTCAACATTTGTCAAGGAAGGAAGGACAAAGGGACAGCTACAATTTTTACTAGCAAGCAGTCCATTTGCAAACACAACTTTCGACCTATGTACAAATCTGGTTTAAAGGCAGAGTTAGATGTTCTTACCCGGGGAACTGCCTATAAATAAAATTATTATCTTGAAATGTGGTTGTGTGTATAATGTGGAAATCTCGGGGAAAACCTTCCTTTGTCCTTTGCCAAATCTCTCTCTCTCTCTCTCAGGTTAAATATTTGTTTTTCTAAAGCTCAGAAACTGACGCCACCATCTGTGTTTTATCTGTTTAGCAAGGAAGGCAAACCACCTCTATAGGTAGGCCTTGACTTACCCCAAATTTCTGTGGCTAAGTAGGACATTTGCTAAGTGAGTTTGGCCTCATTTCATGACCTTCCTTGCCATAGTTATTAAGTGAATCACTGCAGATGTTAAATTAGCAACACCGTTGTTAAGTAAATCCGATTTTCCCATTGACTTTGCCTGTCAGAAGGTCCCAAAAGGGGATTGCATAACCCCAGAACAACTACAATGGTCATAAATGTGAGTCGGTTGTCAAACATTTGAATTGTGATCAACTGACCATGGGAATGCTGTCGTAAATGTGAAAAATGGTCATAAGCCACTTTTTTTCAGTGCCATTGTAAGTTCGAATGGTCACTAAATGAACTGTTGTAAATTGAGGACTACCTGTATTTAATTTTACCTCTAAAATATCCCATCAATCCAAGACCCTAATATGATTGATAGTAGTGTTTTGCTCCTTGTATGGCTGCTGCATCTGGGGCCGATGTGCAGGTGAATAGTTGCTAGGATGTGAGAGGCAAGACTTTTATTCTTGCCTTCAAATATCTTGTACTTGAATAAATAATATTTAGATACAGAAAGAACTGAAGCTCAGATATATGTCTGAAAGGACTTGCATCCTTTATTCAGAACCCAGGTGGGACCGAGAAACTATAATTTAAATTCTCCGGGACAAGGCTCCCGAAGGAAATATAAAATTTATTGTGGTTCCTAGTCTGTTTTGTCTGTCGGGGGAGAAATTAGATATTCTACACCGGATTTCTTCCTGCAGATTAGCTATAGATTAGCAGAATGGAAGACAGGAAATATAGAATTTAATAAACCTAGGGCTAGTCGCTGAACACAAGGAGCAGCAGTGCAATTATGCAGTTACATAAACAGGGAAAGTTTGAATGAGAAAGTCCCTTTCAAAAGTCTACGGATATTGGCAATTTAGTGATATACAGTAAAAAGAGTTTATTGGGAGGAATCAAGAAGGGAAGACAGAAATAATGTTCCATAATTCTAAATAATAATCTAGCTAATCCACTTAATTATTGCCTGCCTGTCTGAGACATTACGTATAGGTAGTCTTTGGGGCACAATTGAGCCCAAAATTTATGCTGCCCTGCAAAACATCTGTTCAGCGAGTTTGCCCCATTTTTATGACTTTTCTTGCCACCATTGTTAAGTGAATCGTTGCACTGTTAAGTTCATAACACGGTCATTAAGTGAATCTAGATTCCCCCCATTGAAGGTCACAAAAGGCGATCACGTGACTCCCGGGACACTGCAACCATCATAAATGTGACTCAATTGTCAAGCATCTGAACTTTGATCATGCTGCAATGGTCATAAGTGTAAAAAACGCTCATAAGCCACTTTTTCCAGTGCCGTTGTAACTTTGAACAGTTGTAAGTCAAGGACTACCTGAATTCACCGAAAGTGCAGATGGAAAGGCTAGAGAGAGAGAAAGAATTATCTGGCTCCCCTTGCTCAAATTTTGGGAGGCAGGCCCAACCTTATGATTCCTCTCACCTCTTATTCTTCCTCTTTCTCTCTTGTGAATGCTGTTCTTTATACAGGTAGTCCTCGACTTACGACCACAATTGAGCCCAAAAAATTCTGTTGCTAATCAAGGCAGTTCTTAAGTGAGTTTTGCCCCATTTTACAGCCTTTCTGGCCAAAGTGGTTAAGTAAATTGCTGCAGTTGTTAAGTTAATAGCGTGGTTGTTATGCAAATCTGGCGTCCCCGTTGACTTTGTTCGTCAGAAAGTCGCAAAAGGGGATCACATGACCCCGGAACACTGTAATCGTCGTAAGTAGATGCCCGTGTAGGACATGACCTGACTGAGCCCGAGGGAGGGGTCAAACGCGTCATAAGTCACAAGTGCCTGCGTGCCCACAAAAGACCTAAGCCCACCATGAATGCCTTCTTATCTCCCTCTCATTTCCCTTTTCTGTTA